TCGTGTCCTATGTATGACCTGATTATATAGCCAATCGAGACCATCAAATAACAGCCCGACAGAAATATAATGGACCGCTCGGGGTATCGAAAGCGCTCCATATCTATGACAAATGTAAGGACTGTAACGCTTGTGCAGACACAACACACCACTGCAAAGATGCCGATCCAAAACACAGCCATCTCTTTCTCTGCTTTCGAAAAGAAGACTCCTTTACAAGGCATGAGACAATTGGCGACGCCTCCCATCCCTCCCATGCCTGCCGTCTCCACTCGATTGTTAAACCGTCTGTCCATCAAGTCTTGGGCCAAAATCAATGGGTGTCTGCACTCGCACTTACATTCGTCACTCGTCACCACTCCGTTTAGATGTGTGACCGAACCTGAAGTGCCGGGTCTTGAGATCTCTTGGCGACCCTTACTCATCGGTCTTCGATTGTTTGGCCGAACGGTCTTGTCTTTCACTGAATTGCCATTCATTGCAATTGAGTCCTCTTTATTAGAGGTGACAATGGGTTTGGAGGCGAGAATGTGTTGCCGATTGTCGGTCAAAGTGGCGCCTGAAAAGCAATCAAGTCTTCATAATTATCACAAATCATAGCTTATTTAATATTTACCTTCTTTTGAATCCATACAAAGCAACTGTTTATCGCCATAAAGGGGTAAATCATTGCAATCCATGCGTTCAGGCCATGCAAACCCGTAGTGTCTCATTATAGGAGCGCATCTCTTATTTAATATTTACCTTCTTTTGAATCCATACAAAGCAACTGTTTATCGCCATAAAGGGGTAAATCATTGCAATCCATGCGTTCAGGCCATGCAAACCCGTAGTGTCTCATTATAGGAGCGCATCCGTGTTTCTGCATATTATGTCAATTACTATGAGTTACGGCAAAAACAATGACCAATGAAGAGAACTTACGGCTCGTTCACAGACGGATCGACAGGCGGGAAGTCTTCCCGAATAGTCATCCATACAAATGGGCGCATACATCGAGCACAAGAAGAACCGCAAGTCATCTGAACACTGAATCTCAACCAATGGCCAGAACTGGTGAACTGATATACAATCAAATGAGAACATGTCATCGTGTGGTGGATGTGTTGATGTGGTGTAACTCACCTTCAAGACCAGCTTCCTCTTGAGTGTCGTGATGGAACTGATTTGGCATAACTGTATAGTTATAGCCAATGCCTCTACACATAGGAATACTGATCTCTTCACACCTTTGCTTATCACAAATGCCAGAAGACGTCCATAAGATAATCCACAATAAAGTGATTAACATTTTATTGCATTTCATGTCAATGTGATTGACATGAGAAGAGATGAGACCAATTGGTCGACAGCCCAACCATTTGTTCGCTCTGGCCATCAGTTCACGGCTTTCAATCAATTCTTGTAATTCATAGCTAAGTCAACACTCAATCCATCCATGAGTTGGTCATCGGTTGGACACAAGAGTGTCAATAGTGGTCAATATGAGAGCACCGAGAGGTCAATAGGAGATGTGTCTAATATTTGGCTCACATTTACCTAACATTTGCCTAACATTTGCCTCCCTTTCGACTCAACACTCAAATCAATACAAAAACTATTGATTTATAAAAATCGATATAAAGTGTTGAATAAATGTGTTGTGAAAAACATTGCCATCTCTTATACGAGGCATACATTCACTGCTTTTGTCATCAAATCGTTTCAATTGTTTTCAACTTTTTTCAAAACTTTTACTTCATTTGAGTTTAATTTGAATAAAATTAGTGTTTATTTAATATTTGGATAATTTATTTGAAGTAATATTAATTACTTGATTGAAGTGAGGTTTGTATCTGAATTGGATGTAATGGTGAGTCGATCCAAAACTGTTGGTAACGACAACCTGTCGGACAAGTTATCGGGAGTTCCGAGACTTGTCGAAGATCTGCAGAAGTTGTGTGAAGACAGAGACACTGCAGATGTGCTCTTTCTCACCGGTCGTCAAGAAGTGGCCGTTTTTGCACATAAAATCATATTAAGGGCTCGGTTTGTATGCAACCAATCATGTGTTGAATGCATTGTTAACACAATTCTTATACATTATGTTTAGTTGTGTTAGTTTTCAAAACCTAAAGAGAGCCGAAGTGTGTAAAGTAGTGGGAACTACAGTCTTGACGGCATCGCAAACAACTCATAATATCAGTCCTAATGCCAGGTATTCTCGATTCACACCAAAGCACTATTCAATGTGTTATTANGATGGTCGGTATAAACCAGGCGACCAAATGAAAGTATTGCGAATACCCGGCAATACCTTCATTAGACCATTTGAGTCCAGCCGATAGAAACCATGTAATGGTGAGTATAACCCACCAAACACTGGATGCCATTCCGAAAAAGTAGATCAAAAGAAATACTAATACACAGACGACAGGTGCGGGACCTGTCCTTTGGTAGCGAATAAGGAGACCGTCACACGCGATGGGGTCGTGTCCTATGTATGACCTGATTATATAGCCAATCGAGACCATCAAATAACAGCCCGACAGAAATATAATGGACCGCTCGGGGTATCGAAAGCGCTCCATATCTATGACAAATGTAAGGACTGTAATGCTTGTGCAGACACAACACACCACTGCAAAGATGCCGATCCAAAACACGGCCATCTCTTTCTCTGCTTTCGAAAAGAAGACTCCTTTACAAGGCATCAGACAATTGGCAACGCCTCCCATCCCTCCCATGCCTGCCGTCTCCACTCGATTGTTAAACCGTCTGTCCATCAAGTCTTGGGCCAAAATCAATGGGTGTCTGCACTCGCACTTACATTCGTCACTCGTCAGCACTCCGTTTAGATGTGTGACCGAACCTGAAGTGCCGGGTCTGGAGATCTCTTGGCGACCCTTACTCATCGGTCTTCGATTGTTTGGCCGAACGGTCTTGTCTTTCACTGCATTGCCATTCATTGCAATCGAGTCCTCTTTATTAGAGGTGACAATGGGTTTGGAGGCGAGAATGTGTTGCCGATTGTCGGTCAAAGTGGCGCCTGAAAGCAATCAAGTCTTCATAATTATCACAAATCATATCTTATTTAATATTTACCTTCTTTTGAATCCATACAAAGCAACTGTTTATCGCCATAAAGGGGTAAATCATTGCAATCCATGCGTTCAGGCCATGCAAACCCGTAGTGTCTCATTATAGGAGCGCATCCGTGTTTCTGCATATTATGTCAATTACTATGAGTTGCGGCCAAAACAATGACAAATGAAGAGAACTTACGGCTCGTTCACAGACGGATCGACAGGCGGGAAGTCTTCCCGAATAGTCATCCATACAAATGGGCGCATACATCGAGCACAGGAAGAACCGCAAGTCATCTGAACACTGAATCTCAACCAATGGCCAGAACTGGTGAACTGATATGGAATCAAATGAGAACATGTCATCGTGTGGTGGATGTGTTGATGTGGTGTAACTCACCTTCAAGACCAGCTTCCTCTTGAGTGTCGTGATGGAACTGATTCGGCATAACTGTATAGTTATAGCCAATGCCTCTACACATAGGAATACTGATCTCTTCACACCTTTGCTTATCACAAATGCCAGAAGACGTCCATAAGATAATCCACAATAAAGTGATTAACATTTTATTGCATGCGATGTCAATGTGGTTGACATGAGAAGAGATGAGACCAATTGGTCGACAGCCCAACCATTTGTTCGCTCTGGCCATCAGTTCACGGCTTTCAATCAATTCTTGTAATTCATAGCTAAGTCAACACTCAATCCATCCATGAGTTGGTCATCGGTTGGACACAAGAGTGTCAATAGTGGTCAATATGAGAGCACCGAGAGGTCAATAGGAGATGTGTCTAATATTTGGCTCACATTTACCTAACATTTGCCTAACATTTGCCTCCCTTTCGACTCAACACTCAAATCAATACAAAAACTATTGATTTATAAAAATCGATATAAAGTGTTGAATAAATGTGTTGTGAAAAACATTGCCATCTCTTATACGAGGCATACATTCACTGCTTTTGTCATCAAATCGTTTCAATTGTTTTCAACTTTTTTCAAAACTTTTACTTCATTTGAGTTTAATTTGAATAAAATTAGTGTTTATTTAATATTTGGATAATTTATTTGAAGTAATATTAATTACTTAAGTGAAGTTAGGTTTGTATCTGAATTGGATGTAATGGTGAGTCGATCCAAAACTGTTGGTAACGACAACCTGTCGGACAAGTTATCGGGAGTTCCGAGACTTGTCGAAGATCTGCAGAAGTTGTGTGAAGACAGAGACACTGCAGATGTGCTCTTTCTCACCGGTCGTCAAGAAGTGGCCGTTTTTGCACATAAAATCATATTAAGGGCTCGGTTTGTATGCAACCAATCATGTGTTGAATGCATTGTTAACACAATTCTTATACATTATGTTTAGTTGTGTTAGTTTTCAAAACCTAAAGAGAGCCGAAGTGTGTAAAGTAGTGGGAACTACAGTCTTGACGGCATCGCAAACAACTCATAATATCAGTCCTAATGCCAGGTATTCTCGATTCACACCAAAGCACTATTCAATGTGTTATTATTAATAACTTATTAACGCATCATTTCATGTGAATTCAAAGTATAATCCGATGGCCAGAGGCGGACCCGCATGTCCTCCGAGAAGTTCTTCTCTATGTTTACACCGGAAAGGTATGAATAGGACATACCATACAAACTCACAATTCATTTCATATACTGTATCTCACAATACATTTCAAACACCACTTCTCACATCTAAATGTTTATTACAAATGTTCTAGTGTGTTTTTTATCATAACTTTTGTGTGAAATCACCACTTATTGGAATAATTTTTAAAACTTTTATATTCACAATGAAGGAGATATAATGTATGTATGAAATAGCGTTTAAATCTATTTAATGGTATATACCAACAAATTTTGGCAAACATTTGAACATAAAGATTATACAGAGGGGTCAAATCTATATAGAATTCGTACCCCCACACCCATCTATTGCCCCTACGCTGATGCTTTGCTGTCAAACACCGTACAGCACACACTTTGTACACAATACATTAAATATTACTAAATCATTTATGTTTTAAATTGTGTTTTAACATTTATTAATTATATATAAAATGCTGTTTTAAACTAGATAAGTTAATTTGATTGATATTTATTCATTTATTACTTTAATTTTATCAACCTTTGTAAATGATTGTTGTTTCCAGCTTGTACTGTACAGTGTTTGACAGCGAAACATCAGCGTAGGGGCAATAGATGGGTGTGGGGGTACGAATTCTATATAGATTTGACCCCTCTGTATGTGACTGACTATTTTCCGATTGACCTTATAATATATTATCTAACGTCTTCCCGCGACTAGAATTGCCGGCAATTATATCTAGATTTTAGCCAACTCACAAAAGTGCTAAACCGGGGCAACTATATCCAAATACAATTGCCCCCCATATTAAAAACTTACATATAGTTGCCCCCATTTTTATTGATATTTAATGAGTTTGAGGGCAACTATATGTGAATTTTGACAAATGTTTGATTGATAGTAAAAGTGAGGGCAACTCTATCCGAATATAATTGCCCCCCGACTTAGAATTCTAGATCGGGATCGGGATCGGAATCCTTAGAACGGGAAGACGTTAGTAGAAAACATGAAGATTTCACATTTTTGTGAAAGTTTAGCCTAAAATTGTTAAATGTAGCCAAAATGAAATGCCTAAAGAAGACTGATTTAACTTATAAGTCAATTATAAAATTAACTAAATAAATCCAATATTTTTTTATTTAAGCCAAATTAACTAATATTATCAAAAATTATTTATTTAAATACTATTGAAAACATTTTAGTTATAGACTATAAGTTAGAGTCTATAACCAACTCTGCTTTGCTATAACACAGTATTGTGTAAGTACGATGACGGCCCCCTAATGCTAAGCTGGCCCCGCAGGCCTGGTCTCTATTTAACATAATAAGAATTATTTGCAATAAAAGGTCCTTAGATAGAACTAAAGACAAATAACTAAAGACACATCAACAAATAACGTTTATAGCATAAATAACGTACAAAAAATGTAATACATTTTAAATATTCCAAATAACTTTTTTATCTGATATCCGAATTACGAAATTCCTTCAGATCCCTATTCCTCTCATCAAATCCTTTCCATTGATATATAATATGACACATATATCACTCAAATAAATTTTTAATTAGAGTAAATTTTCCCGATAAAAGTGGTCACTACTCCCGAACCCGATTTACTTTTAATTAGAGTAAATTTTCCCGATAAAAGTGGTCACTACTCCCGAACCCGATATCTTAGGGACATATGGATAACATTTTCAAAGACCCCTAACCATGGTCTATCGTTCCCATATTAAATGGTGACCAGGCCAGCGGGGCCAGCGTTAGCATTAGGGGGCGCCATCGTACTTTATTATACGATTGAATTCTAGAATTCATGCTTTAAGAAAAATATTCACAGAATATATGCCAGAATCTGCAATCAACTAAAATAATATTTAATAACTTTGAAATATTTAGGGAACCAAAAGACTTTTTCAAATTATTTAAAGTGATAATTGTTCCAATTATGATAGTATGTAGATAATATAATTCACCTAATTAAAAGTATCTAATTAAAAAACATACGATAATTTCACATTTTTATGAAAATTTAAACTAACGTTTCATAAACTGTAGTCTAAATGAAGGATTCATTATAATATTTCACTGAAATTTTCATCACTAATCACATGAAAAGTTGCTTAGATCGGCTAATATTTAAATAAACTAATACAGAAAAACCTTGTATCTTGAAATGGTTGGGTCTTGACAAATGACTTCAAGATAGAAGGATTTCAAGTTAGAAAAATTCAAGTTACAATGTTCAAAATGGGTAAAATTTCAAGTTAGAAGTTTATAGCTCACGTTAGATGTAAAATTAGTGTAAA